CAACAGACTCTTCCTAAAGGGAAGGCATTTCTTCTCAAGAATAAAAATAGTACGTTGAACACGGCGTTCTTCTAAAAGCTGCAAATTATGGGGGTACCTTTATTATTTACGCTTTCATAATAGCCCCTTCATATTGTAAAATCAGGTATTATTTCCAAATTCTCGTGCAGTAAAACTATGGCTAGCTCAGGGGTGGTGGAGGACTCATGATCGGGGGCACAGCCAAACTAAGGTGCGAACCCCCCACCCCCAGGCCCATGCACCCCCCCCTCCCAACCCCAGGCCATCAGGAAGCCGGAGAGGCAGGAAGCAGAGTTTAAGAACTAACAGACTCACAGCCAGATGGTCCAGGCCTCGGTTCTGCTGCGAGGAGCTCTTTGAACAGGAAAAGTTATTTAGCCTCTCTTGGGCCCAGTTTGTTCTGTTTTTCAAATGTACAAAGCTTCCAGCTCAGTGCCTGGAACAGAAGAAGTCCTTCGGAAATAGTACTTTCCCTTTGCTTTCCAAATACTCATTTCTCTGCCTCCTCCTCACCCTCTCCATGAGGATGTCCGATTTAGGCATTTCAAATTTAAAGGGTCCCACACCAAGATCGTCTTCGTACAGTCGCGATGCGGTACGCATCCTGCACTCTGCTCTCTCGCCCCCACGTCCGGCCAGCAGAACATCTTGATGCCTCCCCCTCCGAGACGTACCCCTCCTACGACGGGGTCTTCAACTGCACTGCAGCACCTGGGCCCCGTGGCTGCCCCGTCTCGGAAATGGTCTCCTTGCTTCCTCTTATGCTCTGATGGGCGGCCAGGATGACCCATTAATAACATCGAACAGGTCCCATCACTCCCGCTCAGAGCTGCACAATGGCTTGCCCTTAGCACTGAAGGGACAGGCACAATCCTCCCTCTGCCTGACAAAGAAGGCCTCCCTGATCTGACCCATCAGCCCGCGTCTACCCTGGGCTCACTCCATCCTATTGCTCAAACCTGCCAGGCCACGAGGCTCCCAAAACTTCACATGTGCTGTTCCTTATGCCTAGGACACTGTTCCACTTTCTTCTAGGCACCCTGGCATGCCTGTTCTCTCAACTTCTTCAGGTTTCTGCTTCCATGTTACCTTTTTCTTTTCTTTTAGAGAAAGAGAGAGAGAGGGAGATAGAGAGAAGGAGAGAGAGAGAGAGTGCAAGTGTGAATGGGGGTGGAGGGCAGAGGGAGAGGGAGAGAATCTTAAGTGGACTCCACGTTGAGCATAGAAAATGACGCAGGGCTCGATCTCATGACCCTAAGATCATGACCTGAGCTGAAATCAAGAGTCGGACCCAACCGACTGAGCCACCCAGGTGCCCCACATGTCACCTTTTTTGTAAGAGCTTCCATTATCACCGTATTTGAATATTAAAACAATGCGTGTGCATATAGAGACATTCCTCATCTGCTTTCACCAATTTCCTCCAGAGCAAGCACTAATCACCATCTAATATGTTATATATTTTACTTGTTTATTATCAGTCTTCTCCCTACTCAAATATACACTTGCCAGAGTAGGGGCTGAGTTTCTCTTATTCTTGCAACATTCCCAACAGTCAGGAAACAGTTTGGCCACTACGAAGCTCAGTTCCATGACTGAATGGGTGGCTCCTCACTCTCGCCATCTGTGGCACATCCAATTCTTTTTGCTGAGAATCAGTGGGTCTGAAAATTCTCCAGCAGTTGCAGCTGGTGATAAGGGTGCAGACTGCTGACGTGGGGAGGGAGGCACCTGCCATTTAGGGGAAGTCGAGGCTCTGGGGACACGTGGACATCCCCAAGAGGCACACAAAGTTGCCCATGGCAGAGGTGGGGGGAGGGGGTCGAAGCCCTTACTAAAAGGCTTCTTACTAGAGTCTCCATGTAAGGGATTTAGAGGAGGGGGATCTCAGAGCACCATTAAGGAGTCAAGCATATGGGATCTGAACACAAGAGCCCCAGATAACTAGCTGTTGTGAAACAGAGAAAAATGAACAAGGCCAAAAACTGCATTGGTGTCACTCAAAATGTTTACGGTGAAGGATGCCAACTGCAATTGCCTTTATGAGAGAGGAAACTCTCCCTTTTGGATCAGAGCTTTCCAAATTCATGGGTCTGTGCTCAGGGGCTTTCTTCCTGTTCCACGACCTGGCTGCTAATCGTTCCAGTTTAGAAAAAAAATAATTACAAAACAATAACAAAAAAACCCCTAAAAAACCAAACCTGTCCAAAAGAGTGCCATATGGAGAAGAGAAGAGCTTACTTATCTTCTTTCACCTCCGTGTTTTCCCAGAAAAGTTCAGAGTGGGCATGGGAAAACCTCAGATGATTTTATACTCCTTTGCTGGTGATAAGATAATATAAGGCAGCCTGCCTTGTTGGTGAGCTCCTTGAAGACAGGTGCTGTGTTCTGGACAGTTTCAGGTAAGAGCAGCATCTAATACATTCTTCTGCACAGCAGGGGCCTAACAAGTGCTAGAAATAAGCCAATAGGAGCACAAACAAATAAAACGCAGCCCATTAACTCAGTTCCTTGCATTCAAGTGCTCCCATCCCAGTCCTGACCTTGGCCCATATACTCTGCTCTGCCCCAGGATCCCAATCCTTGGGCCAGCAAGCACCTTGGGAGCCTCCCCTTCCACAGATGATATCGGGAGATTTAACACCACGATTATACTATTGTTGTTATTGGCTTCAGAACCCCACCAGCACTCTGGCAGGTCCTAGCTGGGACAGAATAAATGGGATTTCCCAGCTACAACACTACAATTAGTGACCACCTGTTCCAGGGACTTTGCTGAGTTACACTTCTCCAAGAGAGACTTGTAGCTTTACATGTATATTGCAGGTTGCGTTTCTGGGGAAAAGGACTCTGATATGGAAGTCAGCATGCAAGAGGTTAATTTAGGGAGTGGTCTTGGGAAAGGCATCTGAAAAGGGAAGGTGAGAGGACAGGCAGAGGGAGAAATCCAGCTGTGACTAGGTTGTCACAGCTGACCCTGCAAGATTCCACATTCCCCAGGAAGGGGGCGTGGCCAGAGGCATGTGACTCTTCACCTGTGGCCCTACCCCAAGCGGCTGATGGCTGGGGGCCCTCTGCAGGGCTGCACTCCCAGGAGCTGGAGTCAAAGTCCTTTACTCCCAAAGGGGAATATGGGCACTCACTGCACACAGCCACTTCGCCTCTCCAGCAAGTCAGAGTACGATGACCTCCTCCCCCCGTGATGCCCTCCCAGCTGCCTTCTCCAGTCCCCTCCAGAAGATGTGGTAACTCTCATTCTTGCTCATCTCTTTATTTCCAGAGCCCAGCATACCAGTGACACCCAGCAGAGATGCAATAAATGTCTGCTGAATAAACACATCACTGAATACCGGACATAAGTGTGAAAATGTGAGTATCACAGAATTATTTTTTAAAAACTGTCCCCCAGCGGTGCCTGGGTGGCTCAGTCAGTTGAGCGTTTTGACTCCTGACTTCAGTTCAGGTCATGATCTCAGGGTCATGGGTTTGAGCCCCATGTTGGGCTCTGTGCTGGGCATGGAGTCTGCCTGGGATTCTCGCTCTCCCTCTGCCCCTCCCCGCAATTAAAAAAAGAAAAAACAAAAAACCTGTCCCCAAGGAGTTCAATGCAGTCAGAAAAACAAGCAGAAATGATGGGGGAACTTGAGAAGAGATGCACACAGAAGCATACGTATGTGCATTCTGGTCTCAACTCTGGTCTCAACCCTGCATGCCTTCAAGCTTCAATTTCCTTGTGACTTGAAAGGACAGATCCCAACATTCTATGAAGAAGAGACCAGAGCGGAGACACACTCAGTTTCAACAGTTTTGCTAAATGACGTCTTTCTTAGTGTCATTACTGACAGGGGAAAGGAAAGTAAGTTTTGATCCTGACAAGGGAAAGAGCCTGAGGGCCAGAGTGCCTCCCCCATGATATGCTGAGGACTTTTTTTCCAGTTAGCCTAGAGCTAAGAGTCCCCTCCCACCTCCCACCCCCCTGAAAGAAGCAGGCAGAGACTGGAGTAGGTGAGGAATTTACTCTTCTGTCCATGAATGGAAACAGAAACCAACTGGAATATCCTGTGATTTATGAAAATGCGGTGATTTTGTATCACTGAGTAGTATTTCACCTTCATAGGATAAGGAGCTACAGAGAAGCAGGAGGAGAGATTTTAAACACGGAAGCCAGAATGCAATTTTAAAAAGAAAACTAAGAAATAAAGAAAAAAAACTCACTCCCAAATTTATCTCTCATTGCATTTGTCTAATATAGAGAAGAACTTGTAAGAATGCAATTTTAAGGGAGACATCTGGAAGGGGGATTAAAATAAAAGCCCAAGATTTGTGCTAACTTGTCACTTCTCTCATGCATCCATGCCAGAGTCAAGTAACACCAACTGGGCTCACAATTCCCCGCCGCGTAATCTCATACACCTTGAGGCAGTGACAAGAACTACAGTGATGGCTAAGAAAAAACTAACTAGACAAGAAGGAATGTCTTATAAAGTCAAACTTATATACCTCCTTAAAGTGGTAAACCACAACATTAATGAAAGCAAAAGCCGTAAGAACATTTTCCAACACTATAATCAATACCCATCTCCACCAACTCAAAGGCCCTTCTCGGCAATCAAAGCATCATTTGATTAAAAAAAAAAACCCAAAACTGATAAATGCAGGTAAGTCAACACTCAATTACCTGTATACAAAATATACACATTTGACATTTATCTCTTACAAAGCATCCTAAATTGGGTTCTTCCTATAAACACCAACATGACCTCTTCATTTACTAAAGAAACGCAAACCAATTCCAATTTGATTCGAACATGCTTCAAATGCCAGTAGAGTTGATACTTAACTAGATTTGTAACTCCTTGTCCATTTCATCAGCATGACCTCATTAAATGTGGGCCTCACATTAAAAAAAAAAATACAATCATTTTTCTTGGCATGACAACACCTTCAAAGATACCAGGAAAAAATGGGGCTACAATTACCTTTGAATTTGTGGAACACGGCCCATAACTCTGCAATGTCGGTCGCAAAGGTGATATCCGTGTCAAGGACAATGACCCTCTCCAGGTTGGCGGGAAGAGTCTTGGTCAGGACGAGCTTCATCAGACCATAAATGCCAGAGTAGTGTTTGTTGGGGATCCAGGACACTTCAGACTACACCAGGCAGGGAAGAGGAGTAGAAAAAAGAAAAAGAAAAAAAAAATCATTACATTTTTTTGCATAAACATTATAAACAGTGCCTGGGACATAAAAAAGCATTCAATAAAAATTTGCTGAGTAAATGAATATTTTCTTAAAGATTTGTTTATGTAATTTATGGTTTGGCATGTGAAGTTTATTGGAAGAAAATGCATCTGAATCAAGGGATAGGAAAAGCAATATTTATGAAATAACTATTATTTGCAGACGCTATGCTCAGATTTTTTTAAAATAAAATTTGTATTATAGAAATTATATAGGCTCACTGGAGAAAAGAGGACTATGTTACAAAAGAATAAAAGCATAAAAATTGGATCCTACTCTTTTTTTTTCAAATAGTACCTAATTGTTCCAAGGTAGATCTATTTCTTTCAATCACATTCTGTTTGTCATTAAAGACTGCTACCTTAGTGGCCTCGTTCAAGCTTATGCTTATCTATTTTTTTTTGAGCTGTAATTGAAGCAATTAGTGTTGTTCTGTCTCCTGGTTCTCAAGCACACAAGAAGGACTTGGTCAGAGGCTACGCAACACTCTTCACTGGGGAACAAGAGAAGACACACCCACAGAGAGTAATGAACAGCCTACGGAGAGTCAGCACTGAAATCCACGATGTAACAGGACACCAAGGTCCCATAAGTGGGTACATCTGTCAGCAAGTCACACATCTCGGTACCACTTGGTACCCAAAGGCAAGGCTGAAAATAATACATAATACTAGTGTGCTGAAAGCTCTCAAAGGTACAGGTCATATATGAAAGTAACCATGGGTATGGGCTCCATCCTAGCTGCCCCAGGGAGCTGCCATCCGTTCAAGCCAAAGCACACTTATTTTCAAGAAGTTAACACTGATAATGGAACTCTTCAGCGGAAAATGTGGCCGCCTTATTGAAATTCCAAAAAACATTCACCCCTTTTGTCCTTATAAGTCCATTCTGAGGACACTGTTCTAAAAAAAGTCACATTTAAAAACGAGAAACCAGTTTTATTCCCAAAGATGTTCATCACCATGTTATAAAAGAAACAATCCAAATGCCCTGAAACTGGACAGTTAATTAAAACATGCTTTTTTAAATCCGATAGCATGAGCAATCTAGAGCTATGAGCAATCTAGATTAAGATGTACTAAAAAAAAAAAAATCTTGCATGTGATGTTAAAAGAAAAAAGGTAAGTTTTAAAATTTCTTTTGCTTAATAACGTCTACGTATAATCAAACAACATGAAAACACATCCATCCCAATTTATGCTGAGAAAGAAGAAATAGAAGCATGGAATCATAATACTAATAGTGGTCATTTTGGGGATGATGGGTCCCTCCTCTAGATAAATAGATATGTATACACCCCCACACCACACATATGTATTTTATCACACTTTTCGACTTTTTAAAATGAGCAACTACTATCATTGTAAAGAAAAACCAAGCATCACATTCTTTTTAAACATACCAATATCGGTGATGGTGGGAAAAACAGGGACACAGACCCTGCCTTAGGAAAGCTATGACAAAGGAACCCCGTGGTAACTCACACGATCCAGCCCGTCCCTGAAAACCACTCCATGTTGTGTGTTCATCCTCAGTTTACTTGAAAATACCATGTCAGCTACTCCTTATCCTCTCAATACATGTGCAATTTTGACTGGTGGGGCGGGAAAGAAAAAACATAAACCGGTGGACAAAACTGTTCATCACGTGTCAGTCTCAGGAAAAGAACCTTGAACTCTGTCTGTTGTCCCCATCACCGTGTTCCCGGGCAGCATGGAGGAAGGAAAGCAGAGACAAAAGCCAAAATCTGAACCCCAGCCCCATACAAGGCATTGGTCTTTCTAAGCCCCAGTTTCTTTCCCTATAAAAAGGAGACGATGCTTCCATTGCATGGTTTGTGGAAAAATCAAAGGAGATAGAAGGATGCGAGGGTTCAGCCCACAGAAGCTCCCACCCTTCTCCTGACTCCCCTCAGTGTGTTAAGTGTTTGCTTCATACTGAAGGGGGTGCGGTGTGCGGCACAGTGTTAAACCTTGGGTTCTGGAGTCAGGCAGAGGTGGATTCAGGTTCCGGTATCACTTAATGGCTGCGTCACCTTGGACAAGTTCGTCCGGCCTGAGTTTCTGTCGTCTATGAAAGGCAGTTACTTGTACTGTGTGTTGTACTGTCAGGGGGTGGGTGTAAACAGCACACCCAAACTGGGTGATCTGAGGAAAATGGGATAATAAAAGAACTATTGACTGAAACGGACGCGTAGGGCCAGCAGCAAGGAACCGTGTTGCACCTGGGAAGACGTATGAATAAGCCACAAGGCAGGTGCCGTGAACTTCGGTGGAGGGCCACGGATGACTTGTGGCAATTTCACGGGCCGGAGCAGGGAGAGGCCTCTCACTCAGCCTCTCTCTCCTCCTGCCCACCCTCTCCCGCTGGGGCGCCCCTCCATCCAAACCCAACTGGATGCAGAGGGAATGTGATCTCAACCTGTCACCGAACTGAACGAATGATGGCAAGACCACAGCTCAAGGCCTTCTGCTGAACCACCATGCTATCCGTGAGGTGGGCGGGTGGGCGAACGGAAGGATGGACAGGTGGGTAGATGGGCAAATGGCACAGGAAGGTGAGTGATTTGTCTACAATCCCTCAGTGGGTAAGATGCAAAGCGATAGTCAGAATCGGCCAAGGGAAGGTTTGCCTTTCCTTCCCCAAGCCACATCATCCTTCCTTTCGAGCTAGCATCCTGACGCGCCATCAGCTTAGATCTGAGGGCCGGGGGCTCCTCGAGTTAAGGGCCTCCAGTGGGCTTTAAAAAACTCTTCCTCATGAAAGCTCCAGCCTTTGGAACTCAGCTCAGCTGCTCCTCTCCCCTGAGGATGTGCCCGAACTGAAGCTTGGCAATCATGGGTCCACGCGGCAGAGCTGTGCTATTTAATCAGACCTTTGATTAACTTATTCATCTATTTTGGTTACCATCAAAGCAGGAGAGCTTGGTGAAGACTGAACACCAGAGCTCTGGGTTGAGCCATCTAATTAGATTGCCCTGACTCTCAGCTTTATTTTTAACACACATGTGAGGCACTCAGATGCATCACCGAACAGTAGGACGACAGGAATAAATTAATCTCAACATGAGCCCAGGCCGGAATGTCGCCCCAAGTCCCCGACTTAATACATAATCAATTAAGTCAGAGTGTTCAATTAGAGGTAAAGGAAGCATTCGGATGAGTTTGTATTCAGAGAGAAAACCCCAGAAAGAAAACCGAGGAATCTATGGGGGGAAAGAACGTGTGGTAAGAAGCAGATACATTTATTAGAAATGGCCCTGTCTTAGAAGTACAATATAATATGTCCCCCACCCCTGCCTTAGTCTAATCCTGCTCTTCTTTCGAGCCTCAGCTTAGAAGGCACCCCCCGCCCCCGCCCCGGTCGCCACCTCCCCGGGTCCCCAGGCTGGGCAGGGGCTCCTTGAGCAAGCTGCCTCCCTTCCTCTAGCACAGCATGCTCTCACGCTGTGTCTAATTTTCCATGTCTCTCGCCAGCTCTGGGCTGGAACTCCCTGAAGCAGGGACGATGTCATTTTTGCTGTGGTAACAACATAAGTCATTACTCAAAAAATGTATGATGAACGTGCATGACTGTAGAGCTGACCAGGCCTGGGTTTAAATCCTACCTTTGACGTTTTCTGCAACCAGCAGCAGAAACATCCGTGACTGCTGTAGCCCAGGGTCGGTCTGGTGCAACGGGAGAGATGTGCCTTGTCGAGCCCCAATGCCCGCCCTTTAGCACCAGTTCCATCATTTTGCCTCTGTGAGGCTTTGTTTTCTCATCTGCAAAATGGGGGCTTGGAACACTCACTTTGCAATACTGCTGGGAGAACGGCAAGGCATCCAGCCTGATGCTGGGCGCCCAGCCGGCCTCTGCAAAGGCCACTTCACTTCTCCCAGTGAAGGTCTGTCAGCACTATGGAGGCTCAGATGATTCGGGATGTTGAGCTTGATAAGAGCAGGAAATGATGCTACCTTTGATAGTAAAGGGGAAGTCAGGAATGAAGATGGTTTTGTCGGAGGAAAAGAAGTCACTCATCACCTCTCCCTATACTCCTAGATTATTTTTTTAAAGTTTTTATTTTATTTATTTGAGAGGCAGAGAGACAGAGATCGAGGAGGGGCAGATGGAGAGGGACAAGCAGACTGAGTGTGGGGCCTGAGTGGGGACTCGATCCCATGACCCCAAGACCTTGACCTGAGCCAAAATCAAGAGTCGGATGCTCAACTGACTGAGCCACCCAGGTGTCGTAGAATTTTTTTTTTATGATTATTTACTTATTTTAGAGAGAGGAAGGGAGGGAGGGAGAGAGAGAGAACACAGCAGGAGGGAGAGAGGGAGAGAGAATTTTAAGCAGACTCCCTGCTGAGCACGAAGCTCTGACGGGGGCTCAATCTCATGGCTCTGAGGTCATGACCTGAGCTGAAACCAGGAGTCGGTGGCTTAACCAACTGCACCACCCAGGTGTTCCTCTTACAGAGATAACAAAATCACAAACTGAGATCTTGGAAACTCAAAGCCTCCTCTGGTAGATCTCCAAGTTGGACTGTACACCTTTGGTTTTAGGAAGAAAAACCTACTAACATAAAATATACAAACAAACCAAAAAAAAAAAAAAAAAACCTTCCACCAGAGTGGGTGGAAATGTTCACCCATGCAACCTTTGGGACAGTGTCTTGGGACAACCCTTACTGGTATCGAATCTCATTCCCACCCTGCAATAAACTTCAGTCCAATCAGGGACATCAAGTCATGGGGTCAACAGAGGGAAGACCATCCTCAGAGGCATACTGCAGACACCTGGAGGGTCTGACCCCCCGGAGTAGCCTGTAAGATGACAACACCTGGTGAAGCAATAACCTAGCATGTACTTCATCACTATAAACACACCAAAGGGTTTATGTAACTAAAACAATAATAAAAAAGAA